ATCTCTAAATGTTTGTTTTTTACGATTTTTTACATATGCGATCTTGTTGACGGTTAGATCATTGAAACTAATTTAGTAGAATGCATATCTCCGTTAAATTTGCCTAAATTTTGAAGTGGGAAAAGTAATTTGTGCTAAATTTTTATTTATGTTTTTCAATTATTGATTAAACAATATTTAGTTTGTGTGATGACATTTTCATTGTACAATTCTCTTTTTATTTATTTATCGCATATTTTACATGAATTATTATCTATTAAACCAAAAATGTAAAAATTATCTATTAAACCAAACAATATTTTTATTTAATTTTTAAAACATATTCTATTTAAATACATATTATGTATTTATTTATTAAACCAAACAATTATTATTTTATTTTAAAAAATCGTAACAAAATTTTTGGGGGGAATTTAAAATTTTCAGAGGGAATTTTGGCGGCATTTTTGCTGCCATTTTTTTTTTGTCGATTATAACCGACATTAATGAAATGTTTATGTCGGTTTTTATTTTAAAAAATGTTTATGTTGGTTTTAACCGACAATAATGAAATTTTTCAAAATAAAACCCTTCTATCTTTTCCTTACGCCGGTGCTTCTCCCTTCCTCATTTTCTCCTCTCCTCATTTCCTTCTCCTTATATTCTCTCCTCATTTACTTCCAGTTCGAATATGATGAAGAAGAAGGTAACACTCTCTCTTTCTCTCTGTGTGTGTGTGTGTGTGTGTGTGTGTCTGTCTATCTCTCTCCCTCTCTCCCCATTTTGTCTCTCTCTTTCTGACTTGAAGAATTTTGTGTTGTTTATTTCAGTGGGTTGGATGCTGTTGGTGGTGGTGCTATGAGCGGATGTCATCGTTCAGAACGGTTAGCACAATGTTATGGTGCTAATGCTGCAATCCAGATGTGGAGGTGGAGCATAAGAGTAGGAGGAGAAGCAAATGAGGTACGGACTGAGATAACCCAGAAAGGGTTTGCTAGGTTTGCATGGTTTTGCTGGGTTTTAAGTTAGATCAGTGATGCAAGCATGAAGTGGTTTGATGGTGAGCTTGCATGTCTGTGTTGTTGTTGTTGGGTTGCTGAAATTAGAGCTGTGAGTGTAAGGATGGTGATGATGAAAGAATGTGGGTGTGGCAGCCATTTTTGCAGTGTTTTAGAGTTAATGCAGAATTTTTTTTTATTAATATATTTTCTGTTGGTTTTAGTCGACAAGATTGCTTTGATTTATTCTTATTAATAAACTCTATGTTGGTTATAGCCGAAAGAAGTTCTGGCGGTTTTATAACCGACAGAAATTTCCTTATTTAATTATTATAAATATATATCCTGTCAGATATAACTGACATGATTTCTGTTGGTTTTATAATATTTTCTGTCGGGAAATTCATTTCCTGACGCTGGCAAATCTGTCACTTATTATATCTGCCACTACATCCATTTTCTGTGGGATTTTGCTTAAAGTCTGACAGTAATTTACGTTTTTTGAACCACCAGTTATAGATAATTTTGTAGTAGTGACACCCTCATGATTTTATTTATGGGAACTCACACGAGAACTTCCTAGTGGGTCATCCATCCTAGGATTGCTCTCACCCGAACTCACTTAACTTCAAAGTTCTGATGGAATCCAAAGCCAGTGAGTTCCCAAAAGGCTTCGTGCTATAGGGAGGAGAGCATGTACATATAAGGCACATCCCCCATTCTCCGTTGGTCGATGTGAGATCTTACATCATATGATTTGCAAATTTGGTCTACGCATTACTCCTTATTTAAGGTTATACTTGAATTGGAATGAATGTTTGCAACCCATGTAGCTATTAGTTAGTAACTAAAAAGAAAAGAATAACCACACACAAATCCGTAAAAATTGGAAAAAAATAAACATGCACGTAGCATTTTGAACTCAAGAACTCTTTTTTTAAATAACAGAAACCACTACTTCTGATTAAACATTTTGATCAAATGACAAATTTTATAAATTTATACTATTATGAAAAGAAATTCATAAAAATTGAAAAATAAATAAACGCACATATTATTTCAAACCCGGGACCTCCTCATTAATTTTAAATAAAATAAAACCACCACTTCTAGTTAAACTTTTTTTTTTTAACCAAATTTTATAAATTTATACTCTTATGAAAAAATATATAAATATATCACCCTAATAATTTTGGTGCTCTCAATTTCTTTGGGCCCCGAATGGTCCCCTAACCCGCATTAGGCCAGGCTAGCCCTGTTATAACTTTGTCACCCTCCAAGTGTCTGCCAGCATGCCTCGATTTCAATGTCCATTTCGGATATCCAGGTCAGAGTGTATCATCATGAGTATTTAATTTGAAAGTTGATACAAGTGGTCCTCTACTACAGTGATGGAGAGAAATGTTGCCCTTGCACCACGGTCTGAGTTCGAATCCTGTCAGTTTCTTAATCTAACATTTAATCTAACAAATCTATCGTTTGAAAAAAGAAAAAGAAAAAAAAAGTTGATAAATAACATTACATATGAGAATCACATGTAAAGAACCATCTACCCCTTGATTCTCCTTTACCCCGTTCAAATCTCAAGGACTAAGGTGATGAGTTATGTCAATCTCACAATTTTAGCTAAAAAGAAAATAATAATAATAATAAAGGGCGTATAAAAAGTGAAAATAATGTATATAAGTCTTTTCCCTAAATTAAAATTAGAATGAACAAATCAACCAGTGACACATAATAAGACTTATAAAACAAACTGGTGACCTATTCTATACAATTGGACATTCGCTTGGTACTTAATAAAAAATGTAAGTCAATTAGGGTCTATTTGATATTCTACTTGAATCCAACTTTTTTAACTAAAAATAATTTTCAAGTTTTAGGTCTTAAAAACTTGTTTGGTAGGACTATTTTAAAAAACTGAACTAAAAAATATAGTCTATTATCTTAAAACATAAAAAGTGAGTTTTTAGAAATTTTAAACTTAAACTCACTCATTTCTTTTCTCTCACTCCTCCCCTCACGCCAAATCTATCTATCTCTTTTCTTCTTTCTCTTCTCATATTTTTTTTACTTTTTTCGTCTCTCCTCCAATATGTTGTCTTGTTGTCTTCATTCTCTCGGTTCTTTCTCTCACTCATCTTTCTCTCAATCTCGTCCGATCCTCTCTCTTCTTTCCCTCTCCTTCAATCATCTCTTACTTTCTTTCTCCCTCTCCTACGACTCCATTTTTAGATCTCTTTGTCAAGTTTAAGTCGTAAGATTTAAAAATTTTAAATCGCAAATTAATCAAGTTTTTGAGTCTTGAAGAAAATTGTTTTCAAGAAATATTCTTAAAAAATGTTTTGAGAAATGATAAAAAATTTCAAATAGGATGCCAAACATGCCCTTAAATTTTGTTAAAGAACATATATGTCAAACATACTAATCTATCCAACTTTTTTTTCTTTGACAATGTATCGATATCATTTAACTACGGGACATGAATTTTAGCTATGTCATACAATGAGATAACTATTAGTCTCAAATTCGCCACCAACGAGAAGCAAACTTAAATTTTTTTATTTACTAATAAACAAAAATATTGCTAAACAGATAGCACTTAAATTTCTTTAGAATGATTATAAAAGTACTTTCACAATGAAATAACATAATCACAATAAAGTTGTGCTACCACAATGAAACCAGCAACCATCAGAAGCCTTTAAGGAAAATGATTTTCTCTTTTTTTTATTTTTTTTATTTTTTTTATTTTTTATAAATAAAAATGGGAATTAGTTGTGAGGCCAGCACCACAGTGAACTTTAAACCGTCTATTTTTCAACTTGCACCTCATATATCATTCTTACAAAATATTAGCCAAATTGAAAATATTTGAGGCATCTAATTAAGTTCAAAGAATATGAACGGCCTGTTCAATGTTGTCTCGCTTAAATTTATTACTAAAACCTTGGCGGCGAACTCGATTTGGGAAAAAATATTCGGTTTATGCCAATCCTGGATTGGTTCATGCTGGTTTACGATTCTAACCAAAATTATATATATATATATATATATTATTTATTCTTCTACTTCCAATACCAAACACATATTTCAACAACAAATTCAAACAAATTTGAGTTCCCACTACTAGATCTACAAGATTGTGATAGAAAGCAATCATTTATAATGTTTCAGATCAAGACCAAAGTGTACATTCTAAACTAAACTAAAGTGTATATAATGCACAAGATACTAGAAAAGAATGAAGAAAAATAAAGTAGAGGGACATATGTGACAAACAATAAAGGAGGGGGAGAGAAGTGGAGAAAATATTGGGCTTATGCACATGGCCTTCTCGGAAAAATGACTTATCTATATAAAATATAATACAAAATAATAATTTATATTCAAAGACGTTCGGTTTGATTTTCCGGTTCTTAACATTTTCAAACAAGTATCGGTGTTCCAATTCGGTTTTTGTTTCGGCTTTGAAAATTTTGGTAAAGCAATTTTTTTACCACGGTTCAAATTGGTTTTGCGGTTTTTCTGCCCACCTTTAATTGTGGTTGAGGAATCAACGTATTTTGGTTTAAGAAGAGTGGAAAATAAAATTTTATATACAGAAAAAATCTTATATTAAAAAAAAATATATTTATAAAGAGTACAACATAAAAAAAAAATATTGTCAACAATAATTCTCTAAAATATTACTTCAATTAATTATATTCATTCATCTCATCTGGCTGGGCACTTTCCTTCTTTCTCTTAACCAAAACCGAAAAATAATGATATTGTTTCCTTTATCCTAAAAAAGTTTTAATTGAAATAAGAAACCCACTACGTTCCGTAATGATTGTACGTCCCTTTCTCCAAAAAAATTCAAAATTTTAAAAGTGGGATGAGACTGAGACCAGCTCAGATTTGTAACCAATCAGGGATAACCCTGTTTCCCCTGTAATATCACTAACATCACTTCCACGCTAATTTTCGTGTCAATATTATAAAACATTACCTTGTTAAACTTGAGACGACGAAAAATTCACGAGAGAGTTTCACTTTTGAGTGTCTTTTAGCAGTTCTCTTTCACAGATCCCAGATTTTTATAACACAGCACCAACCATTTTCTTATTAAAAAAAAGCCAAGAGCTGCGGCAGCACCACCTCTCACATTCACTTTGTGGAACCCATCATCCATCAGCAGAAGATTCTCCAAATTCTCCTCTCCCACTAGAAAAATCACCAGAAAATCAAAAACCCATTATTTTTTGGAAGCAAAGAAGAAAACCCATCATTTGGAATCCGAAAAGCAACTCGGAAATTGTATTGTAATTCGATGACATTCTTGTTGGAGGATGTTGTTGTTGTTGTATAATGAGAGGCAGAGATGGTGGTGGTAGTTGTGCAGCTGAAAGTGTCACTTTTTAGTCTGTGAGACTCTGAGTGCAGCAGCAGAAGAGAAAAGGAAGAAACGAGAGTGAAAATGTTGTGTAAAAAGAGTGGGTGCAGAACTGCCATTGAGGAGGATGAGGAAGACAGTGGATCAGTGCCTGTATACCTCAATGTCTACGATCTCACGCCTTTTAATGGATACGCTTATTGGCTTGGCCTTGGAGTTTACCATTCTGGTGTACAAGGTTAGTTCTACCAACTTTACTTTGTGTTTGGCTGGTGAGAAAATATACATAATTGTGTTTGGTAGATGAGAAAAATATACATAATTTTGTTGGTTGCTCTTTGGCTTGGCCCTGTATTCTGTTTAGTTTAAGATGTATGTGGTTCAATTGGATTAGTTCTGGATTTTGATCCAAAAAACAAAGTTTTAGGTATTGAATGATTTAGCAATACAAGATAAAAGATTGATGTGAGCCATTGAACTCCTGGAATCCGGAAACATTATTGTTAGTGTAATTCATAGCTACTGATTTCCTTACCAGCTTCTGGTAAGAAATCAAAGGTTCATGGATTCGTTTTCACTTCTTGTTTCCGAGTACAATGAGCTTTACATGGTTTTCGAAATGTTTTTCCTTTTCTTCTTGTTTTTGTTGGATGTTCATGGAGGTTTTTGATTGGATTCACCTGTGCAGTACACGGTGTGGAGTATGCATTCGGAGCTCATGAGTTTCCAACATCTGGAATTTTTGAAGGAGAACCGAAAAAGTGTGATGGTTTTACATTTAGGAAATCAATTTTGATCGGGAAGACGGATGTTGGGCCTTTAGAGGTGAGGGCAGTGTTGGAAGACCTTGCCGCGAATTACAGAGGCAATGCCTACAATTTGATCACCAAGAACTGCAACCACTTCTGCAATGATGCATGTATCACATTGACTGGAAATCCAATTCCAAGTTGGGTTAATCGGCTTGCCAGAATCGGTAGGAATTATTTGCTTCAATTTATCTAGTTTCTATGGATCATTTTAGTCATGAAACCTGTATAGTTCAGAGGTATTGCTCTGCTGACCTTTCCTGTATATTTCGTCAAATTGACAACGAAAAGTGCAAATTTTGATAACGATCTTAGAGCTCATCTCTGAAAAGGTAGAAGTAGCTAGAATGCACTTAGAACTCATCTCCGAAAAAATTATCGTCCTTTGAAAATAATCTTCTCAGAAAATGCTGCATTCCACTACCAAAAATTGAGCCTAATACTATTCGAATGTTTCGATCCTCGAAAGCATCCGTTTCCAAAGAAATGAGCTTGCTTTGTTTGTTAATAGTTACTTGGTTTTAACACTACTCATAACCAATCATTCCTTATTGTGCAGGGTTCCTCTGCAATTGTGTTCTTCCTGTGACTTTAAATACGACCAAAGTTCACAGAATCGAAGACAAGGCAGATGAAGGAGACAAGGACAGGTTAACAAACCAGTCAAACAATGCGGCATTATCTTCTAACTCTCCTTCATCTTCATCATCCTCTCCTTCTGGCACAACATTCCGCAGGGGTAGAAGCAGAACAAGACGCGCTCGTCCTCCCCCTTCGCCTTTGATTATTGCTTCTTCATCCTCTTGATGGTTGAAATTCGCAGTAGAGTTTATTTATTTTCTAGAACATTGCTCAAAGATGAAGCAAAGTCAAGTTCTTGTTTCTGTTATCTTTCATTCTTTTGCTGGCAAGTGATTTTCTGCCCTGCAAAGGTTTAAGTTGGCATCATCCTTGTGTGGTTTTCTTGTACCCAACTCTTAGGTGGTTTTGTCAAAAACATTATGATAAATGTCAATAACGCATCGGTAGTTGTTGGAACAAATATACAGTTGTAAACATGAAAATCCCGCGACAAATGAGACAAGAACATGTGTACAAAATAAATTTGTAGGGTTACAATCTCTTTACAACTTGATCCTTTGATTCGATCTTTGAAATGTGTAGATGTGTGGTGTTGTTGATTCAAGGGTCACGATGACTTGATCTTGGATGAACGGATGCCGCAAGGTTTTGGCTTTTGGCAACGAAGGAACCGGCACGCGTAGGGGTGCTTAGTGGTTTTTCACGGGTTTTACGAAGAATGCGTAGAGCTTTTCGAGTCTTTGAGTGTTTGGAGGGTTTGAGTGCTTGAGAATTTTAGAGTTTCAAAGCTTCAACGTCTGGGCGTGAATGATTTTCTAAACCTCATTTTCTTTGTCTTGGTTCCTCCTATTTATAAACTTTCCAAGCCTTGACTACATATGGATTTGGCCTTGAGTGTGAGCTTGATTAATTGACGAAAGAACCAGGACTCGATTTGTGGGCCGGTGCGTGATTTGACTCCATCAATTAACGTTTGATTTAATTAAATTAAAATCAAATAATTCATTTCCGTCAAGTGTTGACACATGTCCTTCTTGATTATTTGTCCGATTTCGTTGAGTCACACACCATGTGTACAATTCGTGCGACACGTGGTGCATGCCATGTATGCCCTGACATGTCAAAATTTTAATGTATTGGTGAACATTTATTTCACCGAAATTTCGATGTCTACAATAATGACATGTTGTCTTGCATTATTGGAATTCTATATTTTTGTGGTTTAAAAGTGTTGCTTTAGTAAAGTAAAATCCATATCAAAATTCATAAAGAATAAAGAAAGTGAGTTTGAATTTTGTTCACCGTAGATTAGAGTAGTTTTTATACCGCTTTATGAAAAACAAAAATGTGAAAGGTGAGGTTTTCTTGAAGGAGGTTCACTTTGTGATACTGAAAGCCTACAACCGGGAACCTTGTGCTCCCCTCTCACACAGGAGTTTCCAAGTGCTTTTGTTTAAAGTTGCTTTTCCTATAGGAAAGAAAGTTGAAGGCCCCACAAATACTGTGCCCTTGAGGCCTTCACGTTCGCTAACTATTCCTGCTTTGGTACTATTCGAAATGAAATTCGGCCCCTTTTCTTTGTTCCATTGACTCCCCCCCCCCCGTCTTTGACTCAATTAGGTTAACAAATACACAACTACTTTATGACTTGTTGGACCAAATTACGCAAGTTTTCGTGTGTAGTTGAGGCATTACTTATATGCAGGTCTCACTGTTCCAAGAGGATCTTATATGACCACAAAATTGTGAGAGCCTCATTGTGCCAACGCTCCTACCCTGAAGTTCAAATCTTTTGCCTTGTCTTTGACTCCATTACGATCCTACCACAAAATCTCAAACAATTACACAGTCAAATTCGTGTTCTTTGCTGATCAATGGAATGTATCCGATATACCCAATAATCTCTCCACGCAAAGCTCCTAAAGAAATAATTACGACACATAACATCAATAGAATTTTTGTCAAAAGTCGAACTTCTGTCACTAAAGAAGGGCACTAAACAGGCAATAAAACGCCCAATGGTGACCTTGTAGTGCCTCTTTTATCAGTTCCAGTGTCCCTTTAGTGAAATCAGTTCTATTTTTATTGCAGATTTGCCAAAAGTCCAACATGGTTTATGATATAAAAAGTGATAACACCAAATCCCAATTTTCACAAGTGCTTTTATTCTATCAAACACATTCATGATAAAATCTCTCCACACTAAAAGAGCATAATTCAATGGCCTCAACTCGATCACCTCAAGTAACTTACAGCATTAATTGGATATTAAACAGAGTAAACTATGGAAGCTGTGCTATAACATTCGCCCGACTTTCGGAACTATATTCATATCACAAACATGCAATTTCCAAAGGGTAAATCCTATATTTGCAAGAAAAGAAAATGAGCAAAAGTAAATTCCTGAGGCCATTTGATTGTGTTGTCTAAACTGTCCTGCAAAAAGGCCAATCACAATAAAATTAAGGGTCGGAGTGAAAATAAACATATCACGGTGAGAAAACAAGGATTCGAAGAGGGCTTCACCAACAATTGTAGGGTTTACAGCAGAGACTCAGGTTCACTGTAAATTATCAGCTCTGGCTCTGCTTTTCTCGTATCCATTCAACAAAATTGTCGAGGATCAAAGGCCATGCAAGTTCAGGGTTGTAGTTGCTAAGGTCTGGAAAACTTATCTGTGAAAAGGATTGTAAGGATAACATGTTAGCCAACATATCATGAAAGCAGATTAGCACTTACGGAAAAAGGAAAATGGCAACAACTGATATGCAAAACCAAACGTTGACGGTTATTGGCATAAGACACGACTAGCAGTGAATAAGAAAAATGAAAAGAAGAAACAAAGCAGGAGTGTTCAAATTAACAACCAACGTGTAAGATTACCTCATCGCAAAACCGGTAAAAGCCCATCCACTGATCCATATTTATGACTTTGTAATCATTCTGAATCTGCATTTAGAAACAAATTGCATTTACCATTTTCAGAATCTTTTTCCCGACTAAACGGAATACCAGTTCATTAATACAACAATATTCATTCAGCTACTCACCTTTAGATACTGAGTAAATAAGTCAACCTGCGAATGGTATTGCGATCCTAGAACAATATTTAATAACTCGCATATGCTGTCTATATCTATGCTCTTCTGTTTCTCCTCTGTAAATAATACATATATAAAGGGTAAAAAACCAAAGGAAAATCAATTACTTTAAAAAATATAACCAGAGAGACACAGTGGATGCATTACCCGTTAAACAATATCGGAATGCATAGGAATAGAAATCCACAAAGTTTGATGGCCTCCTGACCTATCCATTATGTAATTAACAGGAAAAGATCAGAATCTCTGTGACCTCAATCATGTGGATGTGATGAACTAATTAAATTGCCGTAATAAAAGGAAGCAATTTTAAAAATTCTACCTCTTTCTCTAGCTCTGGGAGTGCCTTCTTTAATTTACTTACATTGTCCACCCTCAGTGCTTTAAGTCCTACTCGCCACTCTTCCTGTCAAAGAGGAGATTGGCGATGTCATGAAACAAATGGAACGGTTAGAGTAATGAATGCAAGGTTCCACATGAGGTTTCAATTTTAATAGAAAATTATATCAGGAATGCGACTTCTATGGAATGGTTAAAGTATGAAATTGAATTCAGATTTGACGTATGTGGTCAGCATTATTGGAGCATAAAATCCAAATGGAGCATTAAACTACACCCGCCCAAACAAAGTAATCCTTTAAAAGGTCGGTAAAGCTTGACAACTTAACAGTTAACACTAGTGTCATTTGATCTGTGTTGTATAAGTAGGTGAATGTCTATATGTAATATGTACGTATAGAGCACACAGATGTGTCTTTTTTGACATATGCCTTATATGCATACACTCGCACTCACACTCGCACACGCACACACACACGCACATGCTCCCCTGTGAAGCCAAAGACTCCATGTATATACATTTAAATCTCCACGAGTAAACACACCCAGACATGTAAAGCAAAGACATTGCTATGCAATCATGCAATCATCAAAATTAATTTAACAATGTACAGTTGGATGCTAGATGAAATGAAATAAATTGTGGAAACGTACAAACAGTTGGTAAAAGGAGTAAATGACAATTTCATTTAAAAAAAATACTTGAAGAATTTTGATACGCAGATGAGCAAGTACTGCTTACCAGGGTGAAGTATCCTTGTTTTTCAGCTTTCATTTTCCTGGCATACATAGTCTATTAGCTTTGACAATTCAAATCAAGGATAATTCGAAGAAGTGAAGATCAAATGACTCCAAACTGAACTTACCAGGCAAGCATCAAGACCCTTACATCCGTATGGTCAACTTCCAAATCTGAACAAAGACGTTCGATTCCCTCAGGGCTGTTCAAAGAGCACGAACAACTAATAAGTCAAAAGGGTACATCAAGTTTTCCCGTAACAAAGGTGTGCACGCATTTAAAAAGTACAGCTTCTCCATGGGAAAAATTTAATAAGGTAGAGTTGATACAAATATGATTAAATTTTGATTGTAATTGAAATGCCATGAAACAATACTACTTTTCTTCTCCCGTCTTTAAGAAAGTAGTTCGATCAGGTATTTGGAAATAATGCGATTCTATTGGTCACTGCGGATTTTCTGGACAAGGAACAATTGGTGATTCATAACAACTCTTTCTGTTGAATAGTAATCATAAAATGTGACCATGCAGGACCAACAATGATCTTACGTTAGTACAAAAAATGGTGATACCCAAAACATATTTTCATGAAATTCTTACCTACCCCTGGAAGATGCAACTAAATACGCGACAAGGGAAAAATGTAATAACATTTTGAATGCCAAAGGAATTACTGAATTAAATCTGTCATTGAGCATGCTCAACACTATCACTAAAAAAATTATAACCTTCGCTCCTGCTGCAACAAAAGTAATAGCAAAATCCACAAATTATAACAAGTATTTTGTGCAGTAGACTTACTCAATCAAACCAGAAGACGCATTTGCATATGAATTAAAGACGGCATCAATCCGTTCCAACTCCTTGTTAGCTGCTTTAGTGGCTGAGCAGATTAAGATTAAAGTAGTTATAAGCACAAGATAACATGGAATGCTAACGCAACAAACTAGTAAGCAATATGCTAATATTCAAACAGGTTAGTATATAAGATTTGAAGAACACATTCTACAAATACTAATGTCTGCGGTAATCCAATAAGAAAACCAGATAGCCCCAAACCCGAAATGTGTTTCAACTTAAAGCAAGGTTTACTAAGTAATGTGTGCTTCAGGAAGTATCTAACACTTGAGTAGGATAAATTTGACAAAGCTTTTGAGAGAAGTGCAGCATAGACCAGCTGACTGAGAGTTCAAGAACCCAAGGTGGCTCTCTTCCCCTCTGCAACCCATAAGTGGGGATGTAGAAAATACTAAAGAGGATTAGAAACCTCCGCCTCACTATTTGAGAGTCCCTCCCCATGACTTCCAAGTACTGAGAAGCCATCGCTGAAGGAAGTATTTTCCCACAATTCTCATTGAGTCCTACGTTACAACCCCAACCATTAATCATGATTAAAAAAGATGCAAACTTTTGCCACAAGACTAAAGTTTAGACGAAACCCGTCTAAATGTAACTATCCCCTGAAACTTACCGAAAAAAATTAAACAAACTGCTGTGACAATGTGATATAGACAATTAGTTTGGCCTGTTCGATAACTTTTCCGTCGTTGTTTTATATATTTTGACTAATGAGAGTGCAAAGATGGAAATGACAAACAAGAAGAGAGCAAATAAAGAACAATTTAAATAGATTCAATTTTATAATTTTTTGATAAATCAGAAACTTTAAGCCTACTCTGGTCAGTCATTCAATTTTCTGTTTGAAAGAGTTTATTCTTTTCAACAAATCAGAACCTTTAACCCCCTTCACGCAACAAACATTCCAGCATCCTCACCAATTCAGCTAAAAACCATTCTCCGATTTTCGAATTCGACAAAGCTTTAACCTTTCGTAATTTAATTTACCATTATTTCAGCGATTCAACAGAATTATAAATCAACTTCAATTCGATTCAATTCAAAGAACGAAGCTAAAACCAAACCTGATCGATACTCACAAACATCCACAAATAAATTAACCAAACCTGATCGATACTCACAAACATCCACAAATAAATTAAAAAAGTACAGAATTCAGCCACAATTTAAAGACTTTAAAATCGAAACAAAGCAGTCAATCCTAATTACTACAAAACCAATCATGAAAACATGGAAACCGATCAATTCAACGACAACTGAGCGATGCTAAGAAAGAAAATGGAAAGATCGGAGCACGAACCGGAGCGTCTCATCTCGTTCACCCGAAATAACCCGTACAGAAGAGTCAAGAACAATCGAGCGCGGAAAGCCTCGTCCGAGAGCTCTTTGTTGCACAGAGAGAGACAGACAGAGAGGGGCTGAATTGGGAGGCTCTGATTAATTTGGTGTTTTCCGGGCGTCCTTTGAAGAGAAGGGGACGATGACGTGGCGCCCTCAGATTGGGTGAGGAGTTTTTACTATTTTGGTGGGGAGGGCGGCGTACGATAAAAGGGAAAGTAAAAAAAGCAGAGTACCAAATTGGTCCGGGTCGCTGTCGCTGTCGCTACAGAGTTTCGACTTTTACAGTTGATTGCAGGAGTTAAAGTTACATTTGTTTCGTTGGATTAGATTCCTCACTGCAATGGCAGCCTGGGATCTGCAAAATCTTAAGCTCAAAGCGGAAAAAATAATAAAAGCAAGAGAGCTGGTCGGACTGGATCCAGCCCATTCTTATCCGAGTTGGGTCAAAACACACACTATTCAAATATTCTCATACCCGAAATCATCAATCGGAGACTCATTCGTGGGATACTAGCAAGAGGAGTTCCACCCCTAACACAAATTCGTCAGCATCCAGTGCATTTATTCACTTAGTAAATAGTAATAGACTCAAATGAATAGTAATAGGCCAAATGCATCTCCCCCTCTAAAATTAAATAACCTAGTCGATTTTATTAAAATATTATTAATTTTTATTATAAAATAATAGTTTAATTTTAATTCTTCTTCCCACTTTTCTCAAAAGAATCTCTCTGGACTCCTTCTTCTTTTTCTTCCCTTATATACACAAGTCATTTTTTATATGTCAATTGTGTTTCAAATTTCAAATTCCATCCACTTTGTTTCTCTGCAGAAACATTAACTTCCATTGACAAAGGCCATTGAATCTTTAATGGGACATCATCACTGTTGCAGAAGAGAAGCCCCCTCCTCGTACCCGGTTCTGGTTTTCTTGGCGATGGTCGCGGTGCTTTTTCTTCTGTCGTCTTTGATCTCCCTCCGCCATGGAATCTTCCCCTGCCGCGGAATCAACCTCAGCCTGGAGGAGCTCTACACCAAGATCTCTTTGCGATGCGTTGATCGTGCAGGAGGTTGATGACCCAGCTGACGTCAGATTGCCCGACATGTGGGTCTTGCCTGGCTTAGGTTAGGTGCCATTCAAAATGCTGGGCTGGAGTGGATAGCCTGGGTGCCGAGTTGGTTTTTTGGCTGGGTGCTGACCTATCAGTTCCCCGGTGGAACTGCTCTAAGGAACTTACCAACAGGATCCTCTCCGGATCCTCTTTATAAGGATCTTGAAGATTTGTGAATAGTTTTGGTTCATTGTAAATCATGTGGTCAATTTTTATCAGATATTGTTTGTGTTCAATTTTAAATAAAAAAATTTAAAATAATTTCTGACCGCACGATGTACGATAAACGGATATGATTCACGGATCTTTGAAATCTTTACAAAGAGGATCCGGATAAGAACTTACACTTGGAAGACTCAGTAATTGTTAGATTGCTGCACGTGTTTTGAGTTTAGGAAACATGAATACGCACACATTAATTAATCATGATCACTTGGATTAGATTTAATTTGATTAAAAGGAATACAATGTTTTACTAACCATGTATGTTAATCGCGATTGTATATGCTGACGCTACCCGCCATGTTTTCACATGATGCGATGCTAATATGAATAACATATCCCGGTCTTCTTGTAATGTAAAACATGTGCATTAACAATAATTGGATTGTGACCGAATCTTTTTCGTGGTAACTGAGGTGACATTACACTTTTAAAGTGATCATCGTGATGAAAAAAATTATTAATTAAACACCTGTAATGAGCCTTGTTAATAATTGTAGTCAAATCTAAACTTCTATTAGTGTTTCGGTAAAAAAAAAAAAGCAGATGAGCATTGTGGAACAAAAAATAATTCAAAAAAAATCATGGAGGTGACATATGGACTTTTGAGTTAAAAAGACAAGATTACTCTCGAGGCACATCAAGATTCCCATGGCATGCAACGGACAATAACGACTCAATCAAAGAAAAATAAAAGGTGATCAATATGAAATTTATTTTATATTCCTCTCATCACTCATCATCAATCTCTTATTGATTTTATTCAAAAAATAACTCCCAAAACTTCATATTTAAATTAGGAATAATTGTTATGTTAATTGCAAGATATTATTTTACATAATATCTTGCAATTATTCACCCCATTACACCATATATGGCCAGCCACTCTCCACCAAAAGGAGCCGGCCACCCTCCTATAAACACTCCTCTCATCCTTCTAAAATGCTAAGTCATTTGCTACTCACAAACTTCTAAATACATTCTTTTCAGAATTATAACTTTGGCACTGGAGGTTCTTCGACCAAAGCCCCCCATTCATCGTGAGTGCAGGCTTTTGACCTTAATTTTGCAGGTGCATTTTCGTCAAAAGAGAAAATAGTGGAAATTTGCATCCACAAGCATTATGTGTGGTGTTAAAATCGTCCCTTCAATCTAGACTAAGAAGCCAAAAAGATCATCTGTCTTTGATAGAGTTGGGGATGAATCAGGGTTCGAATGAAATTGAGATTTGAGGAAAACTGAGGCTAAATTAAGGTGTTTGCTTTTGATAAGATCTCCATGTAGTTTATAGTAAAGTCTCTCTCTGCGTGTAGGTTCAAATCATCAAATGTATTATGTTTCATGAGTTCTTTTGAAATTTGTTTACTCAGCTCCTGATTATTTCCTCAGCATCATGTGAATTGAGAGGATTAGAGAATGCACTAATTGAAATCCAAAAGAGACTTTGTTAGGCTCACACACTAACGGCAATCTAGATTTGGACTGTAATTGCCGACGGCTCATTACAAGTGTTTAATTAATAAAATTTTCACCATGAACTCACATTGAAAATATGGTGTCACGACAGGACCACGAATTTTTTTTTGATGTTTTTATGTGTGTTTTCCTACTAGTTTAAACTAGCATCTTAGTACGAACTAGCAACCTACCACCGTATTATCCTCTCTATTTATACGTGGAAAGTCTTAGGTTATAGTTCTATGGATGGGGATTTTGATAGTTCTATGGATGGGGATTTTGATACTATATGATGGATAACCATGATGTGGCTTAACTCAAATCCTCACCCTTCCCAAAATTATTGTATCTAACCGGATTTCAAATTTGATATATAACTATTCAAGGAATTAATTTTTTTAACTAATAACTACATTTTACTTATCACTCATATTATCAACTAACGGGTTAATTAGCGCTTGAGTGTGTATTTGTGTGCATGTGGATGTCTGTGTATATGTATACATATGTTGCGATGCATTAAGGATGCCCGCTAATTTTCTAAGACTACTCATAATACATTTCGGGAGCGTTTGTTTGCCCTCACTAACTTCCTTGGATTGGACTAGCTTAGCTGGGTTTGCTAGCCGGTGTATGATGCAAACAAGGATTACCATTAATGAGACTAGGTCGGACTCGTACCGAATAAGTCTTTCACTAGGTAGTCTTAGTGATGATCCCCAATACGTATGAGATTGCTAGTCCCGTCCTCAAACCTGCTCTGTTTGCCTGCTGCATCGTCAGCAAGCGTTCCTCTGCAAAACCCTTTAATCACCACTCATATCTGAAACAAGGCTCCACCAACTGCCCAAACCTCAAAATCCAACCACAAAAAAAAAATAAAAAAAATAAAAAAACGCGAAAAAATAACAACAAAATCCAACCCAAAATTCAAAATCCACCCATGGCCAAAAAATCATGAGGTGGCTTTGTAGGTGGAGAAGCCAACACATGTATCAGGAGGAAGGAGAGAGATCCGAAAATTTTTGGGAAAAAAGGATGGGGAAGGTGGAAATGCGTAACAGTGGCAAGATGGTGAAGCGGATGAGCTTGTTTTGAAGGATTTGCGATGAACTTTACACCTGTGTTTTGCAGGAAACAGATGGAGGAAAGAAGGAATGGGGCGGAGCCAGGGGGAGAAGAAAAGAAAAGATGGTTATGGAGGGTAGTCTTTTTGTTGTAAAGTAAAAGGGGAATAAATATGCATTAAAAAACATAAAATATTATTATATAAACATTAAATGATATAAATTACTATGTATGCATTAATTAATATAATATTATAGTTTATTAATTATCTTGTTTTTTAGTCCGACACTACACCAAACGCTTCACTAAGTTAGTCCAACTTAGTCTAGTCTAAACCAATCCAGCTTAGTCCCTAAAGCTAATCCAGTCCAAAATGGTCCGGTGCAACAAACGCACCATTCAATGATTAAACTGTTTTTATAGATACTCATTTAAGGATCCATCTCTTCAAAAAATCATTCAAATATATTATATTTTCTTCTTTTGGTCGATACAACAATATACACTAATTAAGCAGTGGGTGATTTGGGTTAAGCGATCCAATAAGCTAACCAAAGTAAATTGGAATTGCCTTGCCCGAAAAAAAGAAGTAAATTGGTAATGAACTTAATTATTATTTACGACAATTAAATTTAAAATATCTCATTTATAAATAAAGAGTAACACTTCTATTGATAAAATTCTTAATTTTGCATTGATTGTATCAGTCGAACGCATAGACTTTGATTGAGAGTCTTATAGCACTATAGGTCAAACAGTCAAAGAAATAATAAGAGAATGATACACTTGAGAATGTTGCACTGTGTGTGAAGGTTTGATTTTAAGGAATTTTAACGAAACATTTTTGGAACTATTTACTTTTAACGAAAAATCACATTTTTATTTTTTCATGTTACTATTCACCATACATTTATTTGTCATGTTTAATTAAAAATAAAGTTTTTTTGGGAACTTTAATGAAAAACTCCTGGTTAGGGATGGGTAACGATTATAACGGATGGGTAATCACGATTATTTACCCATAACTGTTTATGCTCATACCAGCATAACCGTTTACCCGTTTGATAATTGTCTAAACGGTTATACCTATAACCATAACCATTTATAAACGGTTAACCATACTCATAACCGTATACCCATTTAACCGTAACTGTTTAATATCCGTTTATCTTCTTTTTTTTTTTTTTTTTTTTTACCATTACCCCTTTTGCAACCGTCTACATGTTTTTAACAACTTGAAAATTAAAAAAAAAATTGTCATAATTTTCTTTTTTTTTTGACAATTAAATACGCTTATAGGTACATCATACATTTTCGTATTTAATTTTTTAAGTCATTTTACCATTCCAATAATTGAATTAATTGCCAGCAAAGATACAACGACGGGCACTCTTACGTGGGTTATTTATATGCTTTGCAAGCATGCTCATATGCAAGAAAATGTTGCAACAGAAGTTCGAGAAGCAGCAAATCTGAAAGAT